ATATAGCATCTGTTGCTGTAGCCCGAACGAAATGACAATATTTGCACGGTAAATGTCAACTTTTAAAGTTCATATTGTGGTGGAATAAATGGCAGCATTGTTATTTCAACCTTTACACACACGCACACACATGTTTTCACTCTCGTTCTCCCTTTTTTTGTGCCAATATGCCTCTCTCTCTCTCTCTCTGTCTTGTTCTCTGCTGAAGCCTTTCATCCGCCTGTTTGTATGCAGATTTGTTTGCTTTATCGATTGTGCGATAGCATGGACTATTTGACTGACCTCAACACCGTTTGCCTGCCCTGCGTTGCCATTTCTGTTTGCCCGCCTTTCTGCACCTGGCAGAGCAAACAACTTCCGTGCGATGGCAGGGCTAAGCCGGACCACTCAGACGTCCAGTTAAGTCAGGCGGCCGAAGCGTCTAAATGAGTGCATTCAGACTACATTCATGTTTGTTTGTCTCTTTTTTTTCATTTCTTTTTTTTATCCTACAGCTGTCTAAGATTTACAAAAAGCTGTTGACTTGGAGTTACTCAGAGCAGCCGCATGTTAACCCTCAATTACCTGAACAAGTTCTATTGAACTTGCAATATTATTTCTAGAGTGCAGCCACATAACCATAGTTATATTTAGTTAGTTTCAGATGGCTGAAAGTTGATCAAATATAGAACTCTATTTAATTAATTAAATCGGCAAATTGAAGACACAGTTAATCTAAATAAGTGGCTGATTGCTGCGAATTACTTAGAAGTTTGTTTAGCTCGCTAAACTCAGTAGCGCTCAACAGTCGCTGGTTGGTGGATGGGGTGGTTCCGAGTCGATGATAAACAATGGGTTTCCGTTGTCTGCCGGATAATATGAGAGTCGAACTTAAATGAACAATCGATGTTATCTCTGACGTAGCTGGCCCATGGCAGCCACTTGGGCAGCGTGCACGTTTTTATGGAAGGTACTTAAATGGGGGAGCTCTGGAACTTTAGCGCCAAGTTAATGCGTTTTATCAATTGAGTTCCATCAAATGAAACACTTTGTAGCGAGAACTGAAAGCGAAATGAAGCCAAATAAATTGGATTCCTCCAATGGAATGGGTGCCCAAAAGTTAGTTAGTGGTGCTCCAGCAAACAGCCCTCCGCCGCATAAATTAGTTGCCATCGTCAGTAGGAGAACGCAATCTCATTGCCTTAAAAGTATTTATTGCCAGCATTTGGAAGAGAGCAGCCGCCTTCCTGATTAAAGGTGAGTTTAGCGTTACAGACAGATTATATGCGCAGGCTTTTCACTTTGCTCTCTTTTGCGTTGCTCCATCCTGATTTTAATTGTAGCTGCCGTGCTGCTCAAGTCCGTATACTAAAGCTATTTTTATACAAAAGTCTTCAGCTGGAATGCGAGACTTAACAGCTGAGTGAGAAACACTTAACTATTCGCAGAATTTAGCTTTAAGGCTTGGGGAAAAACTATGAGCTAGTAAAAGAGAACGAGCTATAATCAGTTTTTTCCTTTTACTCATTATATGCATATTATGCATATCTGCATTGCGCACAGACAAATTTCGAAAAGTCGAAAGTGAAGTCTTTGAATTTAAGATTTTGAATAATTTGCGATGAAATTCTTTATTTATTGCACACAGAAAAAACATTTAACTGGAATCGTACATATTATATATGAGAATCGTATGTAGCTGTTTCTTACTTCTTATTTCCTATGGTATATACATATAATATGTCACATTTATGAGATATCTATAATCCAGGAAGTATGCTGAAAACAATACAACACACAACATTAACAATGGCATATATAATTCATATGTTTAATACGCTTTGTGCAACGTTTTGGTTTCGGATTTCTTGGATTTCTGTAATTCTGTAATATGTTGATATCGTTTGGTTAATTAAAGGTACAACTCTCATTTCATATATATGGCGATTATTCTCGTAGACGGCAAGAATCGCATTTTGGCCTCGAATATACTTATTTTTTATTTTTTTGTAAACATATAGACACTCAGTTTAACTTGTATAAGAAATTATTCTCTTTTGTCTTTGGACTAACTACTTTATATATATTTATGGATTTTTAACTATTTACTATTTTGCTTAAAATATATCAATAAGTTAAAATATTTAATTTTCCCCAAATTTAGATTAATATATTTTTTTTTTTTGGTTTTACCAAAGACTATTAATTATATATTATCTACGAAATTTTAGATACAAGTTGCTTACTAGTCTAATGTCCCATTCCTAGGTTCCCGTTTAGACGCTGGCATCGCTGTACTCAATTCGAACTGTGCGCCGCGGTCGCTGCCCCGCTATCGCAGTGGGATTCGCATCGCTGGCTGTTAGGCTGCGCAGCGCCAGCAGCTCCCGCGGCTACAATTGCGTCCGCTTTGAGGTGCCATTGATGGTTGAGGTGGGCGCATCACCTGGAGTCTCAACGTAGGAATAGGAGGGCGTTTCCATGACTAGGGGATGGCAAATCTCGTAGACGGGCACCTTCAGGCTCGTCTTACGCAACCCACCCAAGCTGCTCTGTGAGCTTGAGCTGGGCCCAAACGAGCGTCATCTGGACTCGTTGCCCAGCTCAGAATGTGACGGATGCAGCTCGCTCTCATCGCCAAAGCTGTGCGCTGCTGCGCTGGGGGTAATACTGGGCGTACGTCCTTGAATGCGTATGGCGGACATGTCGGAGCCCCGACGGGAGCTTTTCAGAGAGACGCTCTGCCGTGAGCAGAAGCAGCGGCATATGATGCGCTTGAATGCGAATCGGAAGTCTTTGGAGAAGAGTGCATAAATCATGGGATTAACGGCCGAATTGCAATAGCCCAGCCAGAAGAGGACCGAAAACAGTAGCGGATCAACGCAGTCCTGGCAGAACGGCCGGATAATGTAAATTGTAAAGAACGGACACCAGCAGAAGATGAACATGCCCACAATGATTGCCAAAGTCTTGGCCGCCTTCGTCTCCATGCGAAAACGCTTCACTTGCGCCTTAATATTGCGCCTGCCCATTTTTTTGTTCGTGGATCTCGGGTGGCCAGCCACGACACCTGCTTCGCTGGTGTTGCTCTGCCGCCGCGACAGCTCTGGCAGCGCCTTCCCGACCTGCAAGTAGCAGGAGCTGCCTCCATGATGCTGCTGTCGATAAAGTTGCGACTCTGTCGACTCGCGTCCGTGGGCGCCGTTATAGTGTACGGAGAAAAGGGCGTTGCCGGAGGTGCGCCGCTCATGCGTTGGCTCCGCCTGAGCCATCTCATTTATATTTTCGCTAGACGGATACGATACAGATATCTTGATTTTATCGTGCTGATGATGTAATCGTCGCGTGGCATATTTGCTGAGGCGCTCCGGCGATGGGGTGCCTAGAGTAGTTGTGGTACTTTGAGTGCTGCCGTTGCTGTGCAGCGAGTCCTGCTGGTTGGAGCCGCGGCCGCGATGTATGCGCAACGTTAGACGCTGCTCCTCGAAACGAGAGCCAATGCCCTTGGAGCCTGTTGAATGGGAAAAATTGAATTAACATTAGTTTGGCGTTGCACACATTTCACATACTGATTCCTGCTCTATTGAATATCGTTCAAGCGCCCCGCTTCGCAGCTCGCATTGCGCTTAAATGCCCTCTGCGTTGCCATTGTCATTGCCTACACTGCCTGGCTTGGCATGTTTTCCCCGCCCATGCGACATGTCTTGGCGCTCTGCCAGGCTGCACTTTAGCAAATTAAACGCGTAATTATGCAAATGTCTTGGCATAAGCACAACAAGCACTCAATGCAGGCCCTTGTCTCGCCGCTATCCTTGGCAACAATATTGTCCTATTGCTCGTCTTAGTCTTGCTTAAGCTGCTTTCAAAGCGAACTTTATTTCATTAGCACACATACATTTGCATAATTTCACACACACTCGCACAGAAACACGCGCAACCACTCACGCACTTTAGTATTCCTGCTCCCTCGGTCTGCTGCTCGTTTTGCATTTATTACTCATACGCACGTTTAGCAGCTGTATAAATTTTCATTATCCGCCGCGTGAATGTAATGAATAATCAGCGCAATAATGCCATGTCATTCGGATTGTTGCTGCCGTTTATATACTGTTCAATAATTTAGGACTCTATGCAGCTCTGACCTGCGTTAACCAACCATTTACTTTGGCCTAAACCTATCCAAACATATTAGTGGATACGAAGGCCACAATCACTGTTATATTATATAGTAAAGAACGCCAGAATGCGCTGCCAATGTGATTAAATTAAGTGCATGGCCAAGATAACGAAATCTGCACTGAAATGACAGGGCCAGGTTTGAAAGTGAAGTCAATTTTTTATAGATTAATCATATAAACATCATCACTTTCAGGGAATGCTTTTCATTCCTCTTAAATGAATTTGAATTAATTTCTTTTTAGTCAGTTTAAAGAATCGTGTGTGTCTTTATGTGTTTTGGCTTGTCTAATTGGGGCTGTGTGGGTCTTGTTATTACCTTAGTGTGTGCTTTCTGTTTACCTGTAGAACGTCAGAACTGCTGTGTCTAGCAATTATTCTTAACATAAATTACCTTTAATTTTGTCGGTGATCGATTTTTGCTCTTTGTTTGCTTTCATTTTATTGAAATTATTTTCACTTAACCAAATTATTGGCCGATATACACATATTAAGTACTATACTACTCTGGTAACTGAACTGATGCATTCGACTAACAGAAGAGTGAAACAAATGGGGGCCTGCTTAATACAATATATGTATGTATGTAGTTACATCTCGGAGTACTTAGCTCAAAGCGTGTGTTGTATATATAAACATGAAGTAACATTAATTTAGCTTAAAGTACAGATATAGGTACACGTATATGTATGTATGTCTTAAGTCTAGTTAAATACGCGAAAATTATTGCCATATAGTTACAACGTTGTTCAATGCGAATACTGTATGTATCAGTGGGGCTGACGGCGTTTACAAAAGTACAAAAGCGAGGTGCATTGCCTTATGTCAAGTACTTGTATTTGTAGTTGTTGCTGTTGTTGTTGTTGTTGTTGTTTTGGCTGGTACTCCTGCCGTATGGGGCTTGCTTAGAGCACACGACCCTTGCAGAAGCCGCCGCGCCGTATACGTCTGCTGCCCGTGGTATCCGCATCGCCATCTCTGCTGCTGGCTTCCTGCGGCAGTGAGGCAGTGCGCTGCAGGGGACTCGGTTCGTAGTTGCCCATTAGTCAGCTGAAATCAACTCCATCGCCGTCGTCGGAACAGCCCGAAATGGTTTTGTGGAAAGTGGCGGGCGCCATAAGGGCCCGCGCAGCAATCATCTGGAAATTCTCGGAGGCCCTAAAGCCACTGCGAGTACACACGCAACGGCAGACGATGCGCTTGAAGGCAATGCGAAACTCGTGGGAGAAGAGGGCATAGATGACCGGATTAATGGCCGAATTGCAGTAGCCCAGCCAAAACAATACCGAAAATACTGTCGGCTGGATGCAGTCCTCGCAGAACGCGCGTATCAGATACATCGTAAAGAACGGCAGCCAACAGACTATGAACCCGCCCACAATTATGGCCAATGTCTTAGCCGCCTTTGTCTCCATGCGAAAGCGCTTCACTTGGAACTTTGCACTGCGTTTGCCGGAACGCTTCTTGCCCGATGTCAAGCCAGTCGAGTTGCCACTCTCCAGATCATTTGCTGCTCCGCTGGCCGTGTCCAGATTGAAGGTGGTCTCGCCAATGTCGAAGAGGCTGCTCTTGAATGAGGCGCGTCGCCCGTTAGTGAGGTTGCTGATCCCACCTTTGGTGCTGCTGATGACGGCATAGTGGGGCGAGGGTGGCGGCTGCTGCGAGACACCCATACGAGGTGACTCCAACATGTTTTCCGATGAGGGAAACGAAACCTTGATGGATACCTTCTCGTGCCGCTGGCGATTCACACGCATCGAAGTCGCCCTCTTTGGCGTGCCCGTCTGGGAGGCGGGCTGTTGATCCTCATTCGCAGTGCTGAGGGCAGCGCCCGTTGGCCCATTGCTGTTTACACTCAGCGTCGAGGACATGGAGTGCACCGAAAGTGGCGTGCGCTGCGGTGTGCCGCAGGGGCGTCCACGATGGATGCGCAGTATTAGCTGGGAGTCATCAACGCGATTGTTGCCCCCCGATTCGCGTGGACTGCCTGCAATAAGTCAGTGTGGGAATTTGGCAGGAAGTCGAAATGGGACTCAATACAAAAATCACATCAAATGCAATCACATTATGTTGTTTTGGTTGTATGTAGTGGGTGTCATCGTGAGCACATGAAAACATTCAGCTTGTATTATACATGAGCTTGTGTATGCGTGATTGTTGTTTGTTTGTTTTTGGATCGGTATTGATTTCTGATTGTTTCGAGTTTTCTTTGGTTAGAGACACACAAAATTTTAGTAATAGGGCTAGCACACATGAGCAGAAAACGGGAATCTAACTACGTACGTTCACACATAGATATTTATTGAAAAATTTTGCAGTTTATCTTTAATTATAAGAATATACACTACTCCAATATAATATATATTGTATGTTATAATATAATTTATAAATGTATAAGGAATAAGCAGATATTCGGTTTTTATTTAAATTGAATGCCTTTTTGTGGGGCATGCTTGAAAATTGTATTTATTTATTTTTAAGATTATATCAAAAAGTATGGATTTTAAAAAATTTGGGAATTATAATAGAACATGCCCGAATGTACAAACAGCCTAATTACAATTGAGTATTGAAAAATATTTATCAAATAATTGATTTAATCAAAAATAAGTAATTAAGTAATTTGGGGAGTTTGTTAATTAATTAGCTGGGGTTTTTATGCTTATTGATTTTCTGGTCCGTGTTGACATAATTAACAATGGTTGCCGATTTGTGGCCCCATTCGTATTAGCTAATAAAGTTGGATTTTCGTAAACAGTCGATGTCAGTGTATATTGACAAATTGACGGAATTGAATGAATGATTTGAGTGTAATTTATACTGAAAATATTTTATTTGATGTAACCAGATTATATTTCACATAATTTAAATTTCACATTTTAAAGCATAGTTTCTGACTTAATTAAAAATACTTTTTATAAAATATTCTATGTATATATATTTAAAAAAATATATATATGAATTGGATTTGTGTGGTATTCATATTGGCAAATGCAAATGATATAAATGACAGAAAGTAGACAGACCTGAAAAATTCCATTTGCATAAAAACAAACCTTTTGACATACATATGTAAAAATGTAAATATGGAGCAGAAGTCTTTGATATTAAAAGACCGAATGAAAAAGAGAAACAGCCATTGAAAAGCTTTTAATAAATTTGATAAAGTTTGAAAAGGGAAAATGCGAACACGGTATGGTAAATTTTTCCATTAATGTGAATATGAAAACTATTTTATATTGTATTTGTTTCCCGATGCGGAAGCCTTCCGAATGGCCGCAGGCATTGAGTGGGATAAACATATCTAAGCTGCGCGGCTAAAGCGAGGCCTTCTCCACAAACAAGCAAATAAAATGAAACTGTTTTCCGCCCAAATCATTGACAAATAGAAATGCCACCCATATGCAAATTTGTCGCTAGAACAACAACACACAATGGAAACTTCATGAACAATATAAAGCATAACAGAACAAAACACATAAAATATTTAAATCCGTATACGAAATAACCATTCACAGCCAATTTCAATACAACGGATTTTGTGGCTTGTAAAATAATTATATTGTCAATTATTTGTCATTTGCTTTCATTTGTTATTTTAGTGGTCATTTTTTGTTTTGCTATCTTTAATTGACCTTTTAGTTGGTATTTGTAAGACTGAAACTGAGGCAAGTGAAAGTCAAGGTGAAATCTAAAATCTTAAAAAGGCTGGCGTGAAAGTTCCAGCGGCTGCTGTTGACATGCGGCCCTGGCCCTGGTTAGGCCCATTGAAATTGAAATTTTGAAAGCCCTCAGTGAAACTGGCGTAAGAACAATAACAGGCTCAAGTGCCACGCCTGACACTCTTCTCCTGCTGCTGCTGCTCCTACTGTTGCTGCTGTTGGTAGTGCTACTGCGTATATTTTAATAGACGTCGCCATGAACCTCAGCTAGTTTATGAACTTGAAACTTGATTACCTTCAAAAACCACTAAAGGGCGAGTGGGCCATATAGGAATTCTACCCTTACAGTAACAATAATAATAAAAACAAAAACAAAAACAAAAAACTATGCACACGCCCCCGCATTGTGTCACGAAATGTTTTCCGACTTTTGCGTTTCGTGTTGTGTGCTAAAACTAGGACCGGCGCGCAAAGTGAAAGAAATGAAGACACGCACGGCAAGTGGTCCGTAGAAAAAAGTATAACAAGCTCAGCGCCGCTGTGTCTACATGTGTGTTCCAAGGCTGTCGCATGATATTCAGCGAGCGGATGTTTCTGAAAATCAGGGCTTTGTCTTCAAAACAGTGTCAACTAAGGACACGCCAGCTGCAAAACAAAGCAACTCAACAGCCCAACTGAGCCCAAAAACGGGGCATACAGCAAACAGCACGATGGCATCATAAGCCAACAAAACAGCATTTAGGTCATAATTACGAGACATTCAAGACCCACTCCTTTAATGCTGATAATATTATGTGACACACGCGAAATAGAGTATTGGCAGGAGTGGAGGCGTTGGGAATTTAACGCTCAAGTTTTTCATATTTGATTTAAGCATGTATAAAAAAATCGATTGAATGTTAGTATATATAGACATATAGAATTATATATAAATATATGATAAATTAAAAGTGTTTTGCTTGTTTTTCATCCAACATCTACTTTTCTTCTAGACTCTGACCACATTTGAGCCCAACCAAATTATAGCAAGTTGTATCGTAATAGAAAAACGAAAATTATAGGTTACAAGAGTCGGGACATTAAACTGTCATTAGGCTTATGGTGAATTGTAGGCACTTTTGACTGGGCTTTTATTTTGGGACTCGCACAAAAGTAGCTTTTCTCGGCCCACAATTAGCAGGAGCATTGAACGCACGAGAAGCGGCTTATTGATTTTTATTATATAACCAACCAGTCAGCTAGTCAGCGAGTCAGCGAGTCAGTTAGTCAGTTTGTCAGTAGGGCAGTCAGTCAGCCGGTTGGCCTTTTTGGCTTGCTCGGATTATAGACACTGCGTGCGCTTGGCTTGACAACATTATTGCAGGTGGCAGCCAAGTCGATGAGATCCAAAAGCCGAACTAGAACTGTGCTCAATGAGCTGATCAGCTGGAAGAAAGTGCGCTGCAGTATTGACAAAATATTGCGCATCTAATGAGCCACATAGGAGAATAGACTCACACATTCATACCTATGTATGTGACATCAGTACATACAGACGACAAGGGCGTACGAGCTGCCCGAGTATTTAATGGCAATTTAAAAAGACACTAACTTCAAATGAAAGTACCCGTATAGGACGAAATAAAAATAAATAATTTAACACAGCAGCAGAGATACGTGGGTCACCCAGACTCATCTCAAGCGTGCGGAATTTTGTATTTTTCCTTTTCTCTAACGTCAGAACTTTTTTCGTTTCATTACATTGACGCTGCTTTTTGCCTAAGCTGCTGATTCGTTTGATGTGTTCTCTCGTATACTTGGATGAAAAACAATGCCAATTATTACAAGGATCGCAAACGAGACATATGCTGCAAAACAACGTGAAGATGTATGCTTCGTATGATAAAACTGTGTATTCTAGCATTGAGCAGACTTTAACGTGCTAAGTGTGCTTGGATTTTCGTAGATTATGGGCAGGAAATACTAAAGCTTTAACGCCCATTCGAAGATGCTCTATGTGGCTTTCGTTGACAGTTGTTGGGTTGGGATATTTCCATTATCGCATATATGTATATACATATGTATATTTATAATAGTAGTTTAACTTATATGGGTAGTCTAAATTAAATGAGTATTTAAGCTACAAATATGCAATGTAAAATTAGGTAATTTTTATTTAATTAATCAGGATTTTAGTGACAAGGATTTAGTATACAAATTGAGATTTTAATTACCTTTTTTTAATGTAGACTTAATTAAATATTTAAAAACTTTGTTCTATCATTTACATTTGGATTATGTCTTAGGGTTCTATTTATAAATACTTATTAATTTCGTTTTTATATATATTTGTGTTGTTTAGAACGTTTCATGTTTATTTATAATGTATCGAGTGCAAGACACAATAACGAATTTCCGACATAAATATGTGTATGTGTGTGTGGTTATTTATAAATGTCAAACATGATTTTTACAATTGTTTATAAAACATATCTGACAGCAGTCGCTGTTGGACTGATAAAACAATTGCTGTATTAGACACGGGACACAGACGCACAAACAGAGAGATGAATTTCAAGATTGCTGACATAAGCGTTAGATATTCAATATTTCGTTGAACCATCGAAATCAGTTTCGAAATATTGTGTTTAATCTATGAACTTGTTTTCGTGGATATGTTTTACCAGGTTGTTATAGACAATGGCTCTGATGTGTCATGTTCATAATGTGTGTATACAAATATTTATGTATGTGTGTAATTTTATATCGACTTTCATTTGATATTATTGTTGTGGTGTTTTTTTATTTTTAATTTATTTTTTATTAAATTAAAAAGAAACGGGGCAAAGACGTCACTCAACAATCTACACGAATAGAGTTTAAAAAATTGATAAACAGTCAATATGAATATTGAGGATAATTTATGTATTTATATGTACGAACTACAACCGCTACGAGGATTACAAAACTTACTATTTAAGAGTATCAAATCGAATTGAATGAGAAATATTAGAAAATATTAAAGGGACAAAACTTTAAGCTACGCACAAGTTGCCATTAATTTTGTGAATGAGAGTTCAAAAATGTGTCCAAAAGTTTAATGTTTCTTTTAGCTACCAATCTTGATGTTTACACTACGAGAACAGATACGAATTGTTACTCACCCTTTGTGGTCTTGAATCCTTGATTTATTGCACGCGTGGTGCGCACCGCCGCTCGATATATACGCCAATAGAAGAAGAGCATTACAAACATGGGTATATAGAAGGAGCCCAATGCCGAGTAGAGTACATAGCCTCTATCATTAGTGAGCTCACATTTCCAGGGGCAACTTGTTGCCGGCTGTGGCACATTCGACGCGGGCGCGTTCAAAATATTGGAATCCATTTCGGTGCTAGGCGAAATTGTGCTTGTTGTTGTCATGGCTGCAATATGTATTTCAGCCGAGTCATCGATTGGCGAGAAGTTGTGATCGTATGGATTGTAGGCATTGCCTTTGCCATTGCCATTGCCACTTTTAGTTAACAAGGAGCTAGCAGCATCGTGCTCCTCCTTATGCTTAATTCTATCTACATCTAGTTGCTCATCCTGTGTGCTTGACATTGTGGTGGCATAGTAAAGCGTATAGTTTCCCCGTGTGTAGGTTGGCTGTACCACGGCCTGAAAGAAAAACACAAACGTATAAAATATGTACATATATGTAAGTATGCATATTTGACAGTTGACGGGTTTTTATTAAAAGCTTTATCATCTGGCTAACCCCGTCAAAGTGGTGGTATATATGAAATGTGATGGTGTATATTAAATGCTTTGTCATCCAGCTAACCCATTGAAATTCTAGACTCGCACACAAAATTTCAGAGTCACACATTGCTCACAATAAGCCAATAAAAATTCAACTTAAAGCGGTTTATTTTGCAAAAGATATTCTGGAACGTGCTCTGCATGAATATTATGCCAAGGTGTAGCATACATTTAAGCGCCAGGAACTGGATGTACATATGTACTATATGGTTTCACAATAACCAATAAGTGAAGTCGTCAACCAGATACTCTACATCAATGAATGCTGCAATTAGTTTGTGAGCCTTAGCATAAATATGCTTAGTTATAGGACTTATTGTTAAAGTTTGTCATTATGCTAATTCTATTCGGATAACTGTCGCTCATGAAATCAGAGGCCTCAGCCACTTGGGTCGCTTCTCATTTACAGAGTATACTTATGTATTTTTAACATAAAGTCCACACAGTTTAAAGCTTCTTCCGAATGCCAAGGTCGACACTTGACGAGAATATATTATATGTTCTGTCATTTGCAGAGTAGTCAACTGAATATATGTGTGAATGTATGTACACCCGATTCGAAATTGAATGAAGTCAAGTGAGAGAGTACGGGATAAGACGCTCTCACTGCCTGAATTTCTGCCAACAAAACCACATGGCAGTCGTATAATAATCGCTGCTTCCAGCAGCTGTTCGCGTAAATCAAACATCAATTATGCTCGTGAAATCAGTTCGAATCCAAATGCACTCCGTATATGCGCTCATACAATATTTGTACGTCTCTGTCAATGCGACCTAAGGCAACAGTTGCTAGTTGACTGGCACGATTCGATGGGCATCTGCCATTAAGATTAGGCATATAAACAGGACAAGATTTGGCCACCAGCTATGCTAGATTTATGTGTCTTAAATGGGCTGCCCAAGTGACATACATATTTGTAGGTGGCTCCCACTTGCTAGCTGAACGTCTCCGTCGACTACAAAGTTGAAACAATATGGCTAGTAAATTTGACCCAAGTTGGCCTTAGGCTCGTTCGGCAATAACAACAGAGACACAAGCACAAAGCCATAGAAGCCCACACAGATACACACCCACACACACACACATTGGGGACAATAAAGTGTTGCAGGAAGTCGTAATTCGTTGGACCAGTTAGTAGCCATATCGCTGCTGATCTGATTACCCCAGTACAGGGCGCATACACATGAATTATGCCATGCTGCCTGTCGTCGCCTGCTGCCTGCTTTCGGTTGGACTCCCTGTCCGCATGTGTGGCACATCATTATCATTGCCATTACATAAGAGTTTTATGCATGTGTGCCAAAAATGACAACACTAAAGCAGTCGCGCTGATGGCAGCAGTGTGCCAAAATAGCTGGAAAAAAGGGGAATGACTAAAATACCCTGTAATAGTTGTCGATCGGGTAGACTGACGAGAAGTCGTTGCTTATGGCATGCCCTACATCAACTACCTTCCTTTCACTCTAATCTACGTTTATTTGATTATAGTCAAGTAAACCCTAATCAAGATTATAGTAGGCAGGTTATGCAGGGTATTTCTCTTCTAGCAGAAGGGTATTTCCTAATCATGTAAGCCTGATCAAAGGCACTTTACTTGTTTGACGTGCATGTTGACACAAGTGAGCTAGATTGCAAGCTTTGAAGACTTACAGCACTCGCCTCATTTTCAGCTGCGGTTAGGCAACGGTTCAGTCCAAAACTTTAACTTGTAATGATGTCAATGACAGAACATTGTGGTCCGAAGGGTCACCTAAACGTCGGACTGAGGTTTCTTTTGTAGTTGTCGGTGCGAGTTACAAGCGAGTGGATTGCCTGCCAAAAGCAGTTTTCATGGTTTCAGGTCAGTGTGGACAAGCGCTTTACACTTAAATTTACTGTAGTTGTGGGTGGGCTTATGCATGGACAGTGTGATAGCTTACCTTTTGATCTTTCCAGCCCACCAAAGGCGGAAAGCAAATTACAAATGAGAGTACCCAAATGCCGGCGATTAACGACTTGGCCTTCTTCGTTGACATAATGCTTGGGTAGGTGACGGGTCGCGTGACTGCCACGTACCGATCCAAAGATATGGCACAAAGATTCAGGATCGATGCCGTGCACATCCAGACATCCACTGCCAACCAAATGCGGCACCAAACGTCACCAAATATCCAAACCTAAACAAGTTGGAATTAGAAACTGTCTTATTTGTTTTCCTTCTTGATTTGGATTGATTGCTTGATTGCTTGATTGCTTGATTGCACTTACCTTGAACACCTCCCAGGTGGCCGAGAATGGTAGCACCGCCAGACCCACCAGTAAATCGGCAACGGCCAAGTTAACAATAAAAAAATTGGTAACACTACGTAATTTGTTTGAACAGAAGACGGCGGCAATGACTAGACAATTGCCACCGATGACCAATACGTTGATAAACTCGAGTATGGCCAAAGAGATCAGGTTCGCCGGTTCCGTCCATTTCACAGATTTAATGAGATCCTCACACTCTGTTTCATTCATGGCGGTACTTTTGTGATGGGTGTATACTTGTGTTTACCACCTGCAAGCCAAGTTAATAAGAAACAGCGAGCATTACTAAAGGTCCATTCAGCGCATAATTAGCTGGCCGCTTTAGGCCACACAGACGGTGCGTGGGCGGCATGCCTAATTAATTTATGAATACATAGTACATAGATATCAGACCACAAATTCAAGTTCTCGAGGCATGGCCAACATAACAATAGCCAAAACAAATGCGTTCTATTTTGTTGTTTGCTTAGCTTGATAGTGCACGTTTTCGCTGCTTAAATGAGCGTCCAGCAGGCAATCGGCTAAAGCACAAACTTGAAACATTAAAGAATAACTTCGTCTGTTCTGGGCAAAACCCCAGTAAAAAAGTCTCTCAACTATTAGTTACGTATTAATTGTCCGCTAAGTGCCTGTGGAAACGGAAGCTATACCATTTCATTAGTGCAACAGTATTGTGCCCAGGGGCTGGCGAAATTTATAATTCAGCTGGCGTTGACGTTGTAATTTAATTGACATCATTTTGGATATGTTTGTTAAATGTAGCTGGCAATTGCTATTCAGAATTTATGAATGAATTCAGACTCAAATACGGATTGTCATTTCGATTGCTATCGGCTGATCGAACACGCAATAAAGACAGCGCTACTACAAAATAGCCACATTCAAAATTCGCGCTCGATTTGGCCACTAATCAATATTTGTGGCAAACAGCTGAAACAGTTGAAATTATTTGCAACTTTAATGTTCTAATGATCGGACAGCCAAAAGGCAACAAGACATTATTTCATATTAGGGCTTGGGCGACGTAATTACCAAGCATGAAATATTCAAAGCACGCAACAAATCGATTACACTTTATTCGACAGTGTACAGACCCAACACTCTGGAATGCGTCCTCAGCTCTATTCAAAATAGACTAGTACTTGAGTTCGATAGAGCGCACGTTCTCTTCTACCCAATAAGTTAATTATATTACAAGATTTACCACAAACCAAAATAGTTGACATTTGCCCCTGATAACCAGGACCTCCAAGGTAAATTGGCCTATGCCTCACTTGATTTCTTACTGTCATTTAATATTGAATGTCAGTTAGTTATTTCCCACAGCAATCAATTGTTTCTGAGTCAGTGTCAAGGAAAGAACTGACGTCGATCGAAATTAACTATTCAGACTAAGAACTACGGCTGGGTTCAAGAGCAGCCGTATATTGGAAATAACAGCTGAATGAATTCGTAGAAAGTAAAGTCAATGGGCAACGGAAATATTAATATAATCATATAAAGATGGCAAACATGTATTGCACTTCTTAGTCCAATGTCGTCGTCTGTAGAATTTGGCGTTAAGGAATGATGCTTTTGCCGGCTCAAAATAAATGTAATCAGTGGCACTTTGTCTGAGTGAAAGGCAGCTGAAATTACTCACATGACAAACAATATATATATATATAGTATGTATGTGGTATAAGCCGGCAGAAGCAGCCTTTGTGGACAAGGCTGAAAAATATTTTATAGGGCGCCCGGTGCGGGGGCGTCGTGGCATGCGCCAAAGTGAGTCTTCTGTTGCGTTGAAAATTAAAAGTACATATAAGGGCTTTTCATTTTAGTGCAATATTTGTCGTTTCTTTTCGAGGGAGGTTCGCATGGTAAAAATAGCTTTATGGCAGCTAATAATGAAAAATGACTAAATTGAGTTACAAGTTGAAATTGGCCAACATTAAATTCTTGCGCACGATAAATAATTCACATTTAAAATGAGAGGCGTCTATAAATCGGCAAAAAGCTTTTTTAATACAACTCATACGATGCACACGCACTTTTGGACCTTCGTTGCGCATACATCCAGTTGGCGAAGGCTTTATAGCCGACGGCATTGAGCGTGGGGGCGGTGCATGGATACGGAAATGTGCTCGTCTTAATTATACGGCATAAAATGCTGAACGGATTTCGAAATGGTTATTTAAAAGACACTCAATTTTAATAATCTGCTATGTAAATGGAGCATGCCATCAACTGGAAATATACTTAATTGAGCGCATGGAAAAGAATTTTGTGTGAATAAAATTGTAGAAAACTTATTGAATTTTATCAGAGCCCCATCGATGATTGTCAACAAAATAAATAATTAACTTGGAGGAAATTACCAGCACAGTCAAGAGCCAGAGTAGAAGAAATAGAGCATGCAATTATTTTATGAGAAATTAATTTCCGAAACTTCACTCGCATTCATGTTGTGCAGATGTTGCATTTGCATTCTAAGTTATTTTGTGTTTAGCGAAATTACTAGTGACTCGCTGTTCGCCTGGGGGAAAGGGCAAATGGGAAGCTTGGCAATGAAACTGGTTCAATTTATAAAAGCAGAGCTTTGCGGAAATAAAAAATAAACAAAAGTTTTGCGTGTGCTGTTGCGCATTGCTGGGAAAACACAGCCTTAAGGGAATTCAACTAAAAGTATTTTGTTTATGGCAATAAATATTCGTTTGCCAGCTCAAACAATACTGAATTTTTTAATAGTTTTCAATTGAAACGACTATGAAGCCTTTGTCTTTGTGAATCTTTAGAAGAGCTCTATTATATAGTTAATATTCAACATATTTTCAAAGGAGTGTGGAGGAGAATATATTAAGAAAATCTGTAATATCAGTAGTAGTTGTGTGGCCACATTCTCTGAAAGTCTCAAATTTGCCAGCTACAAATTAAATTCACCGCTAATTAGTGCAACTTGCCACGTGCCACAAAATAATCTGAATTAAGCGCCAATTTTGCACAAATTTTCTGTGAAACTGCACCATCACACGTACCCACAGAACCCGGAATAGAACGCCACAAAACACACTGAGATAAGTTTTTTTTTGCGCTCTGTAATTTGCGGCAGACGAGTTTCCGTGTTAGCAACCAGCAAGAACTTTCAATTTAATTCTGATAATTGCTCGCGAATGGCGGCCAACAGGATATAGATAAGAGATAAAAATAATAATAATATGGCCTAAAATTCCACGCGCCAAATAACTCCTCGTAATTTGCAAATTTATGTTGACTTGGCGTAGAGCTTTATCATTAACAGAGCAGATTATGCTGCGATTGCGAGGACGGTGAGAAGTCAAGACATCCTTGAGCCGTGGCTGCTTTGTGGTACTTGAGTGGGCTTTACATAAAGCAAAAACTACACTTGATTAAATCAGCAGTCGCACGAGTGATTAACTTAATCCTACTGCTGCGGCGGCCAGATTAAAGCTTACACAATGTCAACTTGAGGCAAAATCTAAGATGATCTTAAAGGCTCGGCTAAATAGTTTGGCTATTAACGGAGTCCTTGAATCCAAGACAAATACTGTGGCGTTCATCTCTGCTGTTTAATGTGCTTTTTACGAGCTGACGTGTAACGTGTGTCGCTGCGATTCGGTGGCGTATACGTTACAACACACACTCACACACCCACACACACACACAAATGCACATGCAAACATGCGCGCAGCTCATAAAAGCAACGCCTCGCTACCAATGTCGCAAGTGGCATGTAGATTTACCCTTAGAATTTATTGCCACACATTTCACTAATGTTAACTGCACTCCTGACGGAATAAAGAACAGCCTGCTCACTGCTGTGTAAACCTGACAGTTACAATATAATCAATGTCTATGGCACATTTCAACTTGTCAATGTTGATTGCAACACGGAGAACAAGAGTCGAGACAACTGCTGCAATGTGCAACTGTGTCGCTACATCTGCCACACGCGCCACATTCCACTTGCCAGCGCCTTTTCCGATTTACTGTTGAAATGTGTAAATTGCCTACCACCATAGAAACATGTTGGCGTCCCAGTGGCACCAAAGTCCTAACTGTGTACTCACAGGATGTGCGTGCTTCTATTAACAACGGAAACATGCAGCGGAAATATAAACAGGAAATGTTGCCAGCAATATTTTCAACACGCCAACTTGACTAATTGCAGATACACATTTAAAGTTTTATGACGAATGAGTGGTAAAAATAGTTTTAATTGTGCTACAAAGCTATAATAAGTGTACATGCTTCAAAGGCAGTCCGCATGTATTTTACAATCCTTGAATTTTCTTTATATGGCATGCAGGACCTGGTAAGACATAAACTGACTAAACTGTCTTATTCATATTTTAGCTATGCTTCTAGTACCTATTATTATTAATGACTAAATTGTGGGCCTCGTGTGGCAAATAGATAGGAGCTAATCTTAATTGATTCAATCAATGCTCTTTTTGATTTGCACGCACTTACCTGTAGCAGCAGGCTGTTGAGTACTTGTAACCATGAATTACGTTTAGTTCGTTGCTGTTGCCTTATTATGGCCATGTTGTTGTCGTGGCTGATGTTGGCAAACATTGGCCAATGTTAAAGCCCCGATAGCTGCGTCTGCTTGCCGTGGCCCGTTTGCGTCCAGACGTCGTCTCCATTCAGAACATTGAACAGTGTCGCCTCTGTGTCTTGTTGTGTTATGCAAACTGAGCCGCTGACGTTGGGGCACGGAACTGTCTGGGCTGTCTATAGTTTCTGTTTACATGCAACAATATGGGGCACGATTCACTTTGAGCTGCACTTTCACTGGCATCGTTGACTCTCACTGAGCCTGCAGCATACTCATCAGCAAAATGCTGGCACGATTGTTTACACGACTGCCTAAAAGCTTCGACAACCTTTTTGGCACGGAGTCGAACGTGTTGGTATAAGTTTTCTTGTTGTCCTTCGCTTTTTTCTTTTTCCTTTTTTTGTTCAGATTGTGACTTTTTTATTTTTTACATGTATGCTGAAAAAGAAGAGAGAGAGAGAGAGAGAAGTAAAAAGGTTAGCGAATGGCTTAGCACATGGCACTGACGTATACGCAATGCGACCAATGCCACCTTTGTACTATCACGTATTAAAATACAGTTTCTACAGATGTTGCACTTAAAATCGATTGCGAAAATGCTTGAAATCTTTTAAATAACTCGCAACAGCAAGTAGAGCAAAACTGCAATCCAAATTTAATTGCTGCGTTTTCAATAACTTGTTTCCCAACAAATCCCAGTGCACAAATCACCTGTTCATTTAATAAGTTCGCAGCAATTTATTACTCTCGATTGCCATTGGCAAAGTTTTCTTATTATTAATCGAGCGAAATTGTAAGCCTCTTACTTTGGCTCTGCTATGCACACATTGATGGCAAAGTTTCTCCCAGGAATATAATTTGTGTATTGAGTTCCTCACAATTGAGTTGCCTGTGCTGCTATAAAAAAAGATTTTCTCTGATTAATTTGTTTTTCTCAAGGCCCATTGCGGTTGCATTCCTGACGTAGTTTTTTTTCGTTTGAATTTTGCCCAATTCTCTCGGCGTTTCGTGCGCTGTCATTTTTCAGCTTGTCCGCATTTCTTACGGACCCACAACTGTCAGTTAGTCTTTCCCTTCCTTTCGCCAGCTACGAAAATGAAACGTCAAAGTGCAAAGTATGACAAATTGCATTTCCATTGTTAATTTGTATGCATAGCTTGCTTCGTCTCTTCGCCCGTTGCCCATGCAAATTAGCTTTAACATTCCTATACACATACCCATAGATACACAATTCTTGACTCTCAGCGGCCGAAAAACTTTTTCAATTCAAGTTTGCCGAGCCTATACTATTGAATATTGAACAAAAATCAATAAGTTACGTTACGTTGATTATTTTGACTATTCTTTGCTCAATTAAATTATAGCACATGCTTTTCTATTTCAAACACGCACAACACACTGACTGCTGTATGTATTCATATGTAATCTTTATTATATAATTGCTTAGATTCAGCAGCGAAGGTTAAAAGTTATCCAAAGGTCAAATAACGTACGTAATTTGAATACTATAGTATGACATACGTATGTATTGTGGAATATGACGCAATATTCTAATGTATTATTTACTCTTTCTTCCTTGTAAATCACAATAATGATAACTATTTTTACTTAACAACTTATTTGGCTATCACTGGCACAATCTAAATCTGTAAAGGTTCGTGTGCCTCGACACACCTTTAAATAGGGCCTTTATGAATAGGATTTAGGTAGGCATAGTTATTTTCAGACAGAACTCTTGGGTCATCCAAATAATTTGTGCCAGCTAATTTCCATTTGGACAGCTAATGGATATGGTCAAAACGTGTATCTCGAAAATGCGTCCTAATATTTATTAATTTATTGAAGCGGTTAATGATTTATAGCCGTTAAGCATGAAGACACGCGTATGCGTGGCATATTTATATCCGCAGTTTGGTTTTAATAAATTAATATTATTTTATTGTAAATATGTAAATATGTAAATATATATGGATTGAGCCCTCTAAAACTCAAGCCAACCGACTATTTAAAATGAAAACAAAAAACAAAAAAAAAATGCTCATTGTTTACATTAAAACAGATTGCAAATAAAATAAATTTAATAAATAATTATATTTTTCTTAGTCACTGTCCAGATACAAATAATTTCTTATCATAATAAAAACATACTTTTAGGCGTATTTAAAATTTCGAAAAAGCATGAAATTAAAGCCACGTTAACACAGAAATTGTTGTAATCTATGGACTCAACAGCCACGGTGAATAGAGATTTATTGGAAATGTAATATACATATGTCATTTAATATACACTCGCTACATAGATCATATATTCTACTTAAGTATTTGGGATTTTAAATTGTGTCGACCATTAGAAGATTAAATGACAGAAATATTGCCATTAGGGTCCATAGCGTCCAGCTTAACTGCCATTTCTGAGTATGATGACTAACACCAACAGCAACAGCAATTGGCCACACGTTGTTGGTTAGTGTGCGAGTGTGTGTGAGCATGTGTCGCTAACAAGGCAAAATCACCCGACTGCATAACAGATTGAGATTTAAACCGAATGCCATTTAAGTGCCGGGCCACAACAGTCTTACTCTTGGCCCCCAGGCATTCCTCGGATCTACTTGTAGCTGCTTACATTCATTTGTGCTTCATTCATTGTGTTCTCACTGGCGTAAATATGTGTAAAATACTTTACAACAACAACAACAACAGCAGCAGCAACAACAACAACGTACGTTGCATGCCACTTGCATTAGTAGGCGTCCGACTGGGGTGTCGAGGCTCTTTCTTGGGAACACACACTTTAGACGATGCTGTGGCACTTAAGTATGTGGCGCTGCTGCTGTGCATGTGTATGAGTGCCTTATGACATTTATGTACATTGCTGGGCCAGATGCACCCGCACACAACACACACGCCAGCACTTTGTATGCTAAATGTACATATGTAAATGTAAGAAGTGCTGATGCGAACCGAGCGGCTAGTTCACTTCCGTCTAACAAAAGGATTTATGTGCCATGCACAACAAATACGAAAAATCTGCAGCAATCTTTTTCGCACACACACTCACACACACATACGCACGTACACACCAACTCAGAGAGAAAATGAGAGAAATATATGTAAGTGGGAAGCGTTGTCTTTGGCTTTGCATAAAAAATTGGCTGTGAAAACGCTTTGGGCAAATTTGTTTTCAGTTTTGCGCACACATTTCTCACTCTCTGCTCACATGCTCAGCCAGTTTCCCTTTCATGCTGTTCCGCGTCGTGTTTTACAGCTGTGCGGTTTTATTTGCGTTTCAGCATTTTTCACATTTCACTTTCCAGCTTTTTTTATTTGGCAGGCGAAAATATTTTTGTGGCCACAACTAATTTGCTTGGCCATTTCAAATTCTAAAAAGCGAATAATTTAAAAAGCAGTTCAGTTTACATTTCATATTAGAGAAGTATAAAATAATTCATTTTGGTAATACAATCTCAAACTGCGTTTTATCAGAGCATATTCTGTTTGATGATGTATTACAAGCTGCATAGTTATAGCACTTTAATACTCACACACATAAATCCTCATATTTTAAATTATGGAAAAATCCCACCGCTTGTCGTATTCATTCACACACATATGCACTTGCTTAGGATCATTGGGGCGTGTCGCCAAAATGATTCGTGAATGGGCGAATGAATGCCGTCAACATAAACGCTTCAGTTGCTGCCAAAGCAGCCATGCCCCATAACTAAAGCTAAACGAGTAATTAGATGTTTAAACATTGCTTTTAATTAAGTTAATCGCAATCGCCAGCACGCACGACTTAATAAAACAAAAAACAAATGAATTTCAGCAGGGCATAGCTCGATTTAATTTATTTGCCAATGAGAGGGAATTTGTTATTCCTATTATCGAATCTTATGGCATTATTTACGAACAACAATTTGGACAAATAGTTTCTGGGATGCGCCATTGAAAATGAAAATGAAATTGAAATTGAAATCGAGCGGAGCTCAGAAAACACACGAGGAACTGCACAATGCCAAATTGATGAGCTGTTGCCAATTCGAAATGCCAATCAAAATGACAGAATAGCACAAATCGAATCCATAAATTGCAATACAATTTTTCTGGGGCCCATTTAATTTGATATACTCTGGCGTCAGACCCGACGATATACGTGAGTTTCTGCCCCAACTTGTCATATTTACTGAATGTTTCAGTTACAGGAATTTGATTCCCTTATCACAACATAGATAACATGGTTTATACCAAAGACCTTTGTGTACGTGCTGTACTCTATTACTCCACTCTATAATTTTATTATGTAAAAAAATAAATAAAAACATTACTTCTCGAAACTCAAAATTACATAATATTATGAAAATTTTACACAGAATTTATTACATTAATTTTAATCTAGATATTTAAACCAAATCAACATTTCGATCTGAATTATAAGGGTATATTTTTTTCGACTACTTGACTACTTGATTTCATCTGTATAATAATTCAAAATGCAAATGCATTTCTGTTATCGCACCGAGAAAACAATTTAGATGCCAATAAATGCATATATGCGCTAGGGGCGTGGCTCACGGGGCCCCCAAAAAGGAATTTGATTCGATTGTTTGTCTGTTGCTTGACAGCTTTTACATTTGATTGAATGCCTGATGACTTTGGCAATGACAAAACTAAATGACAAATTATTAAAGTGATCAGAGTGAATCATTACTGAATGCCTCACAATTCATTTGGGCAAGAAATGAAAAAGTTGACGCCATTAATTGACATTTTCTTGTAGGCATTTTATGCAACGTAAGGTAAGTTAAGGTGTATGTGCGTGTGTGTATTGGTGGGTGGGTGAGTGGGTGTAGGGCTGTGCAGTTCATTTAGCACGTTTCGGGTATAATCCCAGCTCGGAATGTAATTCGTGGAAAGTCACTGTGGGACAGCTAGAATCGCACTGGGCTGTCTAGCAAAGCTCATTTCCGTTTTATATTTAAACACTTGAGGCTAAAATGTTTGCTTTGCCCAATGCCCGGAGCTGTGAGGCATCAGGCACCAGGCACCAACCACCAACCACTAGGCACCAGCGCAGTGCAAAATCATCATAAAAAGGCAAGAAATGAAAAAATAAATAGCCAGCCAAAGAGGGTGGCAAGTTCTTGTCTATGAGCCTCCCAGGAGGTGCCGGCGGAGGTGTAGTTGGTAGTGCTTAGCGAGTGGATTTTTAAATTAGTTTCCCGACTCTATGCAGACATGCAGGCGAAACGACGAGGGGACAAGAGCACACAGAACGAACTGTTTGGCGACCTTCTTTGGGGCAAATGGACTTCCAAGTCATTGGATGTGACATTTTGGTGCTTATTTAAATGAATTAAGTGATTTTTCAAGCGCTAAGCTCGCCACGAGCTGCAAACTCATTTCCGCTCAGTTCGCATTCGCTGTTTATTTTTCCATTTTGTAGCAGCTCGTGGCTCTTTAAGGTTCATTTGGTTTTCATTTTTGCGGCAACAACGAGCTGTTTATTTACAGGCAATCAAAACTTTAACAGCCGCTCACAATTTGCCGTCGCTGTTTTATGACACTCTATCCAAATAGACGGCAACGAAATATATTAACAAAACTCAAAATGTAAATAAACCAGCTCTATGGCAATACTAAAGCAGGTGCTCAAAGAAGAATCTCTCTATTCTGTCGAAAATACACCTTGCATGATGTACATATATTGTATTTGAGCGTCTTTCTGCTGTAATTTATTTGCTACAACTGGGATAGATTAGTTTTAAGAATCTCCCGACCCATTTGATATGCTTGGAGAAATTCCTGCTCGACCGTTAAGTGAAACTTAGGTAAACTAAATAAAAAGAATGTGTGAATCTTAATTGAAGATGTAAAACATTTTGTCGTGTTGCATGCGAAAGTTCTGCGTTGGCTCTGGAAAGTGGTAAAGGGAAAATTCGCCCTGCAGACACAAAATTCAACTATGAATAAAGCCTATACTTGAGGTGCTTTATAATCCAGTATTATTCTAAGCAGCCTCTAAGTAGCTCTGGTGTTTAAAGCAGACCTATGCTCATTGCGTGTGCCTGGGATAGGGTATTAAGCCACGTAATTAAGACGTGCGCCCCCACAAACAATGTGTTAAAAACAGTGTGCAGATACTTATATGCTCAAAATAACTTGGACTATCTGCTTTTCTGCTGTTTTCCGTGTCTGCTCCGCCATTTTTTGGCACACTTTGCACACGCGGCGTATGCGCAATGAGGCTTGCCAGTCAACCTTAATAATTGTTTATTTTCCTTGGCGGCCTGGGACTTTGTATTGTTACATAGTACTGGGGATACGTGTGCCTTGACAGGTGCGAAGCGACAACCGTGCAGTAAAGTGTCAAAGTGGCACGAAAAAAAAAAAGAAAATAAGAGAGGAAAACCCGAATCGCTTAACACAAGCCCTCACAATTCATAAAAGGATTGTGCCGTCTCGCACCTCAGTCCGCTTTTGTACCCACATCGAAGACATTGTTGGCATGTACCTTGCAGTAGTCGTGCCCAAGCTGTTTTATTGTTATGCTATTGTTATTTAATGCCAAGCTTAATGCCAGCACTCGCTAACTGCAGACACCTAAAACAATTTTATAACCGACCCATAAATAAGTATGTGTTTCAGCTGCTTTCCTTATAAGTATGTACGTGTGGGTCTGTCTCGCGCTCTCCGATAAAGACTGCCCCCGTCTGGTTAGCCACCCAGTCACCAACCACTAGTTGTTAGTTTCTATTTTCCGCACAGATACACGAGCTCACACACACATAGAGAGAGGTACACACATGTCATTTTGTGCCATACATTTCTCACTTTGTTTGTTGCACATTTGAATATTTTCGCTTTTGTTTTGGTATGCAACTGTTCTAAAGAATCTCAGGTTTCAGAACCTTATGCACGTAGGCTGTGTCTGTTGTCGAGCTATTATTRTTATTATTTTGCCATTGCTATTTAGTTTAGACAACGAAATGTTGCAAAACTATTTAGCGTGCATTCTCCAAGTGCAACACCTGACAGAATTCATTCAGTTCAAAAGCCACAAATTGATTGCACGTGGAATGAATTCCTTCAACTCCCAATCTTGAGTGAAGTACATGAAAATGCTTTTACGCGCATTATGAATTCATGTCTTTTGTTAACCTTTGTTAAATCGCATTTGTGATTCTGAACCCTCCTTAGCTGTCAATTATACCTACCCGAGTAAAAGTGTCACCGAAACACTTGTGACGATCAGCAATAAATGAGACCCTAAACAGATTGGAAGTAACTCAACTTTAAAGGTGATGAACTGCTCATATACAAATACAGTTTACTTTTCTGTCATGTCAAGTGCTAACAAATCAATTTCAAAATTGTTTGTTACCCAACTCAGTGCTGGCCGTACGGAATATACGCCTGGATCTCAGTCGATTGTATTAGTTTCACGTTAGCTTGCAGCTCTAATCGGCTCAGCACTGGAAGCCGTCTATTCAGTTTCAATGAGAGAATTACTATAACAAGATCTGTTTGCATTTAAGCACGTGCCAAACTTGAAAAGTTGCTAAATTACAACATGAGAAATACGCGTGTTTCTTTAATTGCATTTTGTAATATGCCCTTCCGCCTTGCTGTTAATTACGCCGTTGTCGTTGTCTTGAACAAAGCAAAACACTAGAAGAGAAAAAAAGGCAAAATTTCCGTAGCTACAGCGACGGCAATAACAAATTGTAATTAGCTGAAGTGGCGGATTTACGGCTGGTGCCAAGTGCAATAAAAGTCATTCAAAATCGTTACACTTGAGAGTTCAGCCCTGAAACTGATCAGTCTCTATGTGTATGATACCCGGCCCAAAAACAAGAGACGCCTATTACAGATATCAATTTGCATAGCTAAACGCCGCTGGCAGCTAAACACAAAAAAAAAAGTGCGTTTCGCTCAGCTCGAAACTTACCTGAATAAATCATTGGGTTTGCGATTGCGATTGCGATCTTGAAGCCGACATCAACGGCTACGAATAATCTGGGCGAGATCGGAGACTCCAAATTGATTGGAAATTCGGTCAAGTTTTTAGTTGTTGTTGCTGCGGCTACTGTAGATGCACTCTAGAGGCGGTAACCGGCTTGACAGTTTGCTTAATATTTGATTTGTTTTTTTCTTGTTTTTATATATCTATTTAATGTTGTCTCTGTCGCTCTACTTGCTGTTGCGCGTATTATTTATGTTAGTTTGAACATATTTTATGATTGGCTTAGCTGTAGCACGAATTATTCACTTGAGCTAGCTGAAACACAATTAATTTGTCGATCGTAAGCGCCAAATTTATGAATAAATATTTATTAGCTGTCATGGTACGAGCTGCTTGACAAAAATAATTGTAAACAGCCCAAGCTATTAGCGGACATTATGATAAAATGTTGTATTGGTATTAGTTAAAGTATAAGTATTGGTATGAAAAGAATCTCATTATGAAACAAAAATATAATTATCCGCGGACATATGGTTAAAGTGTTGACAGCATTGCATATTAGTATAGAACCAATCTCATTATTATATATAAATATAATTATTCATGACTGTAACAAACGGCTATATTTCAATCACATTTTGGAATTGGCAAAATTAAATGTGCTTTGAATTATTATTTAATAGTCATTATGCAAATGGCGAAACATTAAAAACAATGAAATCATTTCCCAATGATGCTAATTGCTGCCAACAAAAGAAATTATGTATTTTGTAGCACAGACAATGCACACGAAACACAATAAAACTCAATGAAAGACATTTTACTCTTGATTTCAAATCTGTAAATGTATAACAAATGAGCGTGAGTACATAAATGTACTATTTCAAGCACACACACACACACACACATATTGTCACTCACAAACACCCACTCAGAGTCAATTTGTTGATTTGATTAATAATTCCATTTCGAATTGTTGCTTGTCCAAAATATATTTCACAGTGTGAAGCACGTAGCCGTTGCAGCTGCTCAGCGTGCGGCATTCACTTTTGGGATTATTCACTGTACTATTCAATTAATTTACTTGAGCATCAATCCACGCTTAAATCCTTGCACTTTTGTTCAATTCGAGGACTCATTGCCAACTGAATGCGTACGACGGAAACGCGGCTGCGATCACGACTTCGTAGCACGACAACGAACGCTCTTCACTTCGGCACCCACACACAGGCATATTGATACACACACCCACACAGACACAGACACGTACAGTGCACGTATTCGACTATCTACCGTTATGACGGCTTCAAAATTGCGTCGATGCGAACGTTTTCATGCGTTGCACAACCAACGCGGTGGCATTTTCAACACGAACTGATTGCCAATTCGATTCTAGTTGGCGCCACAGCCCCAAGTGGAACGTTATGGAAGTGGAACACCAGCAGAACAGCACAGTGAGTTTTCCAGCAAGACAGAACAGCAACAGACGTTGCTGTTGCCGGCGTTTGCGTTTACGTTGGCGTTACGGACAAAAATCGCATGCGACAAATTTGGTAATGAGAGAATTACTTTCGGCCAAGTAGTATATCAATAACGGGACTAATTAGGCGCATTTTCTTGTACATTTTTTTATTGTATTTTATCGGATTTGCTGGCGGAATTTTGTCTCAGAAATTCTTTTTAATACGCGGCTACTTGTTAGCCATTTGACGCCGCTTCGTAGCAGCAGAAGGACAGCGTGAAGGGACGCATAATAAATTGAAGAGCATCAAGAAATTTGCTGATGACCAGCAAAATGGGGCAATAAGGGAATAAAGGGGCACTCGCTGCTACAGAGCGTATAAAAGTGTGAATTGTACAGAAAATTGTGTTGGGTTTTCCGTTTTGACACTCCCTTTTTGCTTTATTTGCCATTTTACTTGATGATCAAGTTGACATTGTCAATTTAGTAAATTTCTGCTTTGATTTTTATGAGAGAGAAAAAAAAATGAAAACTTATTTATGCTTTGATTACTTTGGTTATCCTTTGGAGTTAGGCTGCTGATTTGATTCCGCAACAGGAGATTTAAACCACTTCGTCAATATGGATAATGGGCTACCTAAACCATTTTAAGGTTCGTCTGATTGTTGAGCTAACCTTTAATGTTTGTGGCCAGCAAAAAATATAGTTATAGATTTTATGCTGCCAAAAACAGTTTGGTGCTTCCGTGAACAAGTTTCGTGGCACATAATGTTTAAAATATCTCTATCTATTTTATGTACTCATAGCTTTCTATATACTGACTATTTTGACTACATCTGAAACATTCCACCATTTGTTGACTTTTGCTTAGCCAGTGGTGCTATGATAAATACGCAGTACCCCTCCCGACTAGATACAACATACACACGCACACAGACGCAAACGCAAACGCACAGACACAGAAACATGCGCAGACACAGTCCCCCACATAAGTGGAAACAACAAGGATTCATTGCTAATTAGGATAAACAGCTGTTGCCAAATTAATTACATATGATGGGCACATATAATATAAGCATAAGTCGCCCATCGCTTAACAACAAATGCAAACTGTATTTAGGTTATCTATTATACGCCTTCGCAGCAAACTAACAATGCTACCGTACCGCATTTATTTTGGCCCGTTTACATTGTATCCTTGTGCCAGCAATAAATCTAACAATCAGCTGCCAAGCAGAAAGAAAAACTTTTGTTGGATGGCCAAAGAGGAAACGCTGCAAGCAGCAGTTCTCCCTCGAAATTTGCATAAGCAGCCAGAAAATCCACTTGGACGTTGCACCAGACAGTCGGTAAGTCACCAACGAAAAGTGCTGACTGTCTCTCTGGCTTAGGGCACAACGGTGAATGGCGAAGCAGTGACAGGCGAAGGTGTGCAGCATGCAATCTGGAATATTTCATGCTCTTTAAACGTACGGTGGGTTGACGTATTTAAGAAGTCAACACCTTGATCTATGTGCATATTGTTAGGAAGCTCTTTAGGTCTCCTTTCCGATAAACGAAAGAGCTTAAAGTACTAAAAACCCCATTACATACAACTTTTCTGCATGTCACGATTTTGGCAGGAGCCTCGTAACATATTGGCGTATGCCTTTAACTTCATCATTTTCATCATTTCATTATTGTTGTCCCCATTCTGGGAACTCAGGCAAATTCTGATAATCAACTTATCTCATGATTTTGGGTGTTCAATTTGTACAAAGCTGATTACACAATTTTCATACTTTTCAACACAAAATCCCGAAAATCACAAATACCCACAACACCCACGCACAGAAGATATTTGGTTTTTCTGAATTTCTCTTTTCCTTTTTATCGATTTGCTACTCAACAATTAAGGCTCAGTGTAGGTTAATATTGGCCAAATATAATTGGCATTACGATTTATCAGACTCCCGAAGGTGCATTAAATTTATCTATTTATCTGTCTGGTAGCCACGATAAGCCTCTTTTCTTAAAAAATCTTAAAGATTTAAGAGAACAATGGAACCAAAAAAAAAAAAAAACAAATTATTTGCAATTATTGATCACTCTTCTCTTACGCTTAGTTATTGAATAGTTGAAATCAGCTTTTGGCTCGTTTGCTTAAGTATTCTGTGAAAATCCTCTGTTGATATCTTACTAGAATAATGCGAATTTAAGTTGAATTTCAGATTTGTTTATTTTTATACCCTGAACCCATTTTTAATGGGAAATCAGGGTATAATGGTTTTGTTAGAACTATGTAACAGGCAGAAGGAGGCGTGGCAGACCCCATAAAGTATATATATTCTTGATCAGGGCGACGAGCTGAGGCGATTTTGCTCTGCTCGCCCGTCTGTCCGTATGTTTGAACGTGTCGATCTCAGAAGATATAAGAGCTAGAGACTTGACTTGACTTTTTCCTAAGTCCGTGTATACCACGTGCATATCGAATTTTGCTTTAAAAATCGATAACTTGTCCCGTTATTTTATTATCGATTAAAAACATTATCGAAAACCAGTAAAAAATTTATATCTGCTACATCTTTAAATGTAGAGTCGCCAAATTTTAAATATATATTTATATGTACTTTATAGAATTTCGATTTTTTCAAAATTTACCCCCACCCTTATATTCACACCCTGACCAACATGTTTTTAAAAGCCGTATTTCAAGTACTAGAGACTTGTGGGTTAGAATGTACACACATTATTACCATATGATTACGCTCTGAAAGTTTCATTGAGATTGTATGTCTACAAAAGAGTTATTCAACAAATAAATTCTCATAATATTGCCCACACTGCAGCGCAGCCCAAGCGCTGTCGCTGCTTACTGCGCAGTTAGCAGAGCACATGCTTATACGTACGTGTGGATGCATGTGCATGTATGTGTGCAGTGCAGAATGATTAGAATATCAGCTTGAAGGGTTCAGGGTATCTCCTAGTCGAGCAGTCTCGACTGGAGCCTTCTTACTTGCTTTTGACTGCTATTATTACGCCTTTGATTGCATATCCCAAAGCTTGGATTTGTAAAGTTGCTTGCGAGACTCCTTACTGCTGCTCAGTATCTCATGAAAGTCGCCCCTAATGCGGCTGTTGTGCTGGAGCTTCTGTCACTCAAAGGCAAACACCTGTAATAAATATTCGTTTGCCGTTTCTGGTTTACGCTTTCGCTTCGGTCGGTTATCCTGGTTTGCTGGCTGCCTGCCAGATACATTTCGCTTGATTTTCCATGTGAGTGCACATCAACAGCAGCAACAGCAGCAGCAGCAGCAGCAGGAGCAACAAGAAAAGCCAGAGGTGAAAAACTGCCTTTCTGGCACATTTTCATATGGCATCGCCTGAGAACTTAACTCAATTCCCATTCAAGCAATGGCAGTGTGCATAAAATGGCAACAAGGCAGAGCCATCATTCGACCAACAGCGCGAAAGAAGTGCAGCCACGCACTAGATGTCACAGGCACTCGAGCTGAACTCGAGCGAGCTCAGTGGCCACGCTTTAAGGCCGTTTACAGACGATGGCCACATTTGGCTGCACATGTTGCACGATATATGTATAATTAAGCGTATAGAGCACACTTGTTTCTTAATTTAGCTTAGTGGTATTTCATATAGCTCCTGCTGTTGCTGCTGCTGCAGCTTCCTTCCTATTAGATATTGCAGCAGGATGCTGCTCAACATGAGTCGCACTTTTCATCTGGTTGCAGGGTGGCACCATTTGCGCACATCTGAGCACTCACTGTGTGTTATTAATTGCGTAATTTGCTTATTAATACACAAATGAGCACACACCTGCACCCAGAGCCGTTGCCTATGCAACCCAATTACATTATGTGCACCTAAAAGCCGTAAACTGTTACCTATTGTAGGCATACCGTGGCCTGAACAAAGGAAGTTCTGTATCTACTGCCGCATTGTACATTTGGGAATACTTTAAGCCTTACTTAAAGCCTTTGTTTTCACTCACGCTACACAATTAAAGAACTTACCTGCCTCGGTATACTCTCTACAAAAATTTTAATCTCGTTTCAACTGAAAGTTGCGCACAAACTTTTCCGCCAAGTGTTTGACTTGCAATTGAAATATTTTGCTTCAGCATTTTTCCAACAAACTCACATACAAGCTCACACATTCACACACACTCACGCACACTCAGACGCACTTCATATGCGCAGGGGAGCTGACTTGTGTGGCATAAATCAATTTTTATATGCTCTTACTACCTCAGCAGCCTCTTCAGCTGCTTCTAGCTGCCGCCTCTTTAATTGGCTGCACATGGAAAATTCTAATGGCAAACACGAGCGCCAGGCTCCTCGAGGAGACCATGTGTGGAGCTGGTAACGCTTTAATTAAATTATAATTACCAGCGTCTTATTAGCCCAATTACAGACACCACCACAGCCGTAACCAAGCAAGGGCACGTGTCCGCACATCAACATCTGTCCTTCCGCTTTAAGCCCAAGTCTCGCGCACTTTGCCATATTGAATTTAATAATATTTTCTCTAGAAACCCACAAATGATGGAGTTAAGTGGCCAACAAGCTAAGCAACAGCAGTAAGATTTTCCGATGAAACAGCTGGTAATTCTGGTATTGTGTAATTTATGTGCAGATATTTTATAAATAAACAAGTATGTAAACAAGTACCTAAAAATAATTTTTAAAAATAAGTACTATTTTTTTTTAGCTAAAGCTAAAGTTAAATCAGAGTTAAAGAGTCAAATAAATTGGAAATGAAGGAAAATATCCTTGAGAAATTTAAGTAAAAATCTTCAAACGCAAATTGACTCAATGAAGTTAATTTTTGTATTAACTATAAATAGTAAGTAATTAATAAAAAAAATTAATAAATAAATAAAGTGGAAAATATATATAAGCTCTAAAATGAATATTTACGAGGTACTACAATTATTTGATACACTAACCGCAAAATCCACTTAAGTAG